TTCCAGAAGGTGGCTAATCACCACAATTAAGAATGGCCAAAAATTGCTGGCACGGCCAGCACGCCCTTATGCCATGAACAAAATTAGACATTGCAGGCCTTCAGGAGATATTTGTATCATTGACATCCATGAGTGAGGTGCTGGAAGACTGGATGAGTCCACTGTTGTTCAACATTTATATCAATGATTTATATGACAGTTTCGGAGGTATGGTTGGTAAGATTGCAGATGACACCAAAATTGGTGGTATAGTGGACTGTGAAGAAAGTTATCTAAGAGTGCAACGAGATCTTGATCAGATGGGCCAGGAAGTAGCAGATGGAGTTTAATTTAGATAAGTGCGAGGTGTTACATTTTGGTAAGGCACACAAGGGCATGGTTAATGGTAGGGCCTTGGGGAGTGTTGCCAAACAAAGACACCTTGGGGTGCAGGTTCATAGTTCCTTGAAAGTGGCATTACAGGTAGATAGGGTGGTGAAGGCATTTGGCATGCTTTCTTTCATTGGTCAGAGCATTGAGTATAGGAATTGAGAAATCATGTTGTGGCTGTACAAGGCAATGGTGAGGCCATTTTAGTACTGTGCAATTCTAGTTGCGCTGTTATAGGAAGGATGTAGTGACACTAGAAAGGATACAGAAAAAATTCACAAGGATGTTACCTGGTCTGGAGGATTTGTGTTATAACGATAGGCTGGGACTTGCCTCCATGGATTGTCGGAGGCTGAGGTTTGACCTTAAAGAGATTTATTAAAAATCATCAGGGGCATGGATAAGTTGAATAGCCAAGATGGGCAGTCAAAAACTAGAGGGCATAGGTTTAAGGTGAGAGGGGAAAGATTTAAAAGGGACTTGAGGGGCAGCTTTTTCACACAAATGATGGTGCATGTATGGAATGAGCAGCCAGAGGAAGTGATAGAGGCAGGTACGATTACAACATTTCAAAAACATTTGAATAGGTACATGAATAGGAAAGGTTTAGAGGAATATCGGCCAAGCGCAGGAAAAGCGCAGAATAATTTAGGATACCTGTTCGGCATGGACGAGTTGGACCAAACAAACTGTTTCCATGTTGTATGACTCTCTATGGCTGTTGGAAAGCTACAGTCCAAACCTTCAATCATTAAAAGTTACGCAAAACTGTAATGTCATTAAAGTTGATTTTTAACATACAGGATATGAATCACCCCGTCATTAAATGTTAATTTTTGAAACATTGGGCATATGTGGAGATTGCAGATCAGTGACTTTGAAATTTATCCAAGCAAAATGTTAGCGACAAGTATCGCTGCTGTATGCTGTTTTATTGTTAATTTATTTAATTGTGAAATAGGATGTAGTTTCCTGTGTTATATAGTTCATTTACCACTGATGTTTTGGAGGATTTAAAATACTTTCCGTTAGCATTAAAGAAAGTCTGCAGAATTACCTAATCTACCACTGGAAGTTGTGCTTTAAGGACACAGACATAGTAATCTTGGAGCTCTGACAAGCATTCAAAAGGAGGTCATTCGCAACTGTATCAACAAAAAAAAGCTGCACAAATGACCGGGCTTAACTAAGCTCCAAAACTCTCTCATTGATTCAACCCTGTAGGGGTTGTTTACACAAAGGGGAAATCCTAGCCTTTGTTTGACAGTTTATTAGCTTTCAATAAGTTTATCTTTCTGTGAAGTTGACCAAAATGCAAATAAGAAGAAATTGATTTTCTAAGGAGGAGTTAAAGGAGAGAAGGTTAAATGAATTTCTGCCTCCTCAAGACTGTGATCGCTCTTGATGTTCTGAAGAATTATTGCTTGTCAGTCTTGATGCTTGTGCTCTTTGAGAACTGTCACACTTTTGTACACACTCATTCTCCATCCAACACCTCTACATTCCATCAGGCTATCTCCTTACCTTCTTTTGTTTGTTTCACATTCAATACCGCCCTATTCCAGGAGACCCATAGTCTGGTCTGTCTCCCTTAACCAGTCTTCCCGGTTCTTCTGTGACGTCCCTGCAATTTGGGACGTCGGGGTTTAGGAGTCTCCTATTGTTAACAGGTACACACTCAGCCAAATCACTTGTTGACCTAACTGAGAAGCATGCAAAACATGTCAGAAAATCTCTGAATCGCACGCCAGATGTTAATAGCAAAATGTAAATCCAGATTGTAAATTAGCACTCTGCTCCGCTCTTCAAACCAAAACCTAATCAATTGTTAGTACATCCTTCAGTTTACCACATATTACTTCACTTGTGCTAGATCTAGAATTGATTTAACTGTGGTTTCATATCAAAATGAAATGCCTATTAAATCTTCCCTTAACCTTCTATGCCCTCAGGAGTACAGTCCCAGTTTCTCCAGTCCCACCACTTAAAGCACCTTTATTTTAATTTTGTCCCCTTTTAATAAGCCCTAGTTTGACAGTGTTTTCCCTCCCACTACTCACTATTCTCTTCCCTGCAGCCTAGATAATTTAACATAATAAGCCTGAGTTTTCTGGTTTATGTAAGCTCAATGGTGTACAGTTTAGATGTCAAAATTGATTCAAAAATCAGTATTCAATGTTCTAGTGTAATTTTAATCTTGAGATCTATTGTAATGGTCCGTGCAGTTTGGAAGTGCATTACTACGTTCAGTGTCAGGAACCACAACATAGAGAGGATATAATGATAAAATTAAAATGCTACGGATGCTGGAAATCTGAAATAAAAACAAAGTGGTGTCAATGTCCAGCTGGTCTGGCAATAGCTGTGGAGAGGAAGAAGAGTTCTGGCTCTTAGGGCCTTCTGTTGGAGCACTGTTGGTTCACCAGAAGAATGCCAGGCTTAGAGGGTTGAAATATGAGAACAAGTTGCCTAAACTTGATTTTTATTCCCTTGAGTACATAAAATTGTGTTTGACCTAGCCGAGGTATTTAAAATGATTTGTTAAGGTAGACACAAGGACAGTTTCTTCTGTGTGGAATCCAGATGAGGAGGCATCAGAAATTAGAGCCAGCCATTTGGAAAGGAATATTTTCTTCATACTTGAGCAGAAATCTGGAACTCTTTCTTCAAAAGGCTGGGACAGTTGGAGCTGTCAATCAGATTGTAAGCTATGAACCAAAGGTGAGTAAAAGGAGTTGAGATGCAGATCATCTGTGGTCTATTTGAATGGCAGAAGATGCCCAAAGGGCTTAAATTAGCAGTTATTCCTAGTTCAGTCCGTTGCCCTGTACTTTGTCTAAATCAAAGCTAATGAATAAATTATTTTAACATCCCAATCATTTTGAACTTGTATTGAAACATTCCCATGAGAGATTTTGCTGCACTAGTGTAGCATAGCATCAGAATGATCAAATTTGGTTCATGATGTAATGGGCACTTAAAAGAGAGACTTATTATTACTTCTGTCACCCTTATCTAACTAAAAGGATGCTAACATTCAAGAGGAAATTGTGTTTCAGATTCCTGAGTGTGACTTGAAATTTTTCCATCAGTTTTGGACACGGTGACTAAAGTGGTTGAACATTTGAAAATTGGTTGAATGTGAAGATTTGCTCAAATATTGTGTAGTGAATCCCACCCTTAATCCCATTTCAGTAGTAATGTTGCTTCACTGCATTTACAAACAGAAAGGAGCTACACACAAATATTATGATTGAAATTATGCTCAAGTGCCCTCTGGTGGAATTCAAATGCTAAGTTTCTATTCTGGAAATTATGCTATTATTTGGGAACCAGCAATGGAAACTTTTTTTTTAAATGTATTAACTGCTTTGGATTCCGAGATTGAGAATGAAGAGTTCATGCACTTAAGGCCTGATATGTTGCATTTTTGCAGTTTGGTTTGTTATTGGCAATGGCTAATGAAAGCTATTGTTGAGATATCCAAAATCTAGAATTTGTCCACATTGTATGAAATACTGCTTCCCAATTTCACTACAGAGTACTAGAGAATTCCAGACGACCAGAAAAGTGGCTGAGTTAATTAAAACTTTCACATTTTCAAACCTGAAATTGATAGATCTTAGTTTGTAGGGCTTAGGAGGTACATGCAGGTAAGTAAATGGAGTTTAGGTATATGTCAGCCATAATTTAATTGATTAGACAAACTTGAAGTGGACATGATATCTTTGCAGATCACACCAAGGTAGGTGGGAAAGTAATATTACGAAGAAGACGTAAGAAAGTTGCAGACAGTCTAGCAGATGGAGTGTTATTTGGCAAAATGTGAAGTTGTTCACTTTGACAGGAAAAATAAAAAAGCAGAATATTACTTAAATAGAGAATGACTGCAGAATTATGAGGTGCCGAGGGATTTAGGTGTTCTGGTGCACACGTCACAGAAAGTTAGTATGCAGGTACACCGCATGATCAAAAAAGCTAACGGGATGTTAAATTATATTATGAGATGAATTGAACATGAAGGTAAGGATGTTATGCTTCACTTGTACCGATTTATTGTTCATTTTTGTCTCCTTATTGAAGGAAGAATATGAAAGCATCAAAGGTGGTTCGGAGGAGGTTTACTAGATTGATACCTAGAATGATGTAGTTGTCATATGATGATAGACTGGACAGGCTGGGCTTGTTTCTATTGCAGTTTAACAGAGCGAGAGATGACATGATTGAATTGTACAAGATCCTGAATGGTCATAACAATGTGGGCATGGCAAAGGTGTTTCTCTTATGGGTGAGTTGGAATTAGGGATTGAAGGAATCTCTTTTAAGACGGAAATGAGGAGAATTCTTTTCTCTCAGACAGTTGAGCAACTTTAGAACTCTCCCTCGGAAAATGATGGAGGAGGGTCATTGAAGTTTGTAAGACAGATGTAGGTAGCCTCCTGTTAGACAGGGGATTTGGGGTTGAACAGGAATGTTCGTGAATGGCCAAGCAGGCTCAAGGGTCCAAATAGTCTACTGCTGCTTGCAATTTGAATGTTATTATGATGGCCTATTCATGTCTCTACAGTGGACAATTAATTTTACCCTGTATGCTTTAACTGAGGATTTTCCTTTTGTACTTTTTTACCCAGAACATTCAGCATTACCCAGTGCTTCCTCTCCACGATCTCTTGCCCTTCCAGGTGGCACAGAGATCACCACAAGATGTGGCCGAGTAACCTTTGCAGAAGGTAAAACCCAGGAGTCCCCTGCAGTCGATCCCAACTTGAAGTTTCAAGATGAAGCTGAGGCTTATCATAGGGTCACCTCCCGTGCACACTTCACTCCACACCCAGGTAGTGTACTGTTCTGATATCACAAGCTCTGTACAAAATGACACAGGCGATAAAAGACACAGAATCTTTCACCTAGTCCTCATGTTGTCCCCAGGTGCATTCAGATCATTCATCTAATGAGTGAGACATCATTGTCATTGTATAATATATGGCTGAAAGAGATGCACTGAGTTAGATCATCAGTGTGATTGTGCATTGTTAGTCGATAGAGCTTTTTTGAGAGAGAGCTGTGTAAAGTTTAAATGGCACATCACACCATCGCAGGATTCATGTTTTTATTAATCTACAGGAGAATCACAAAATTTGAGAAATTCTCAGAAGGTCAGGCAGTATCTGTGGAGAAGAAAAGAGAGTTAATGTTTCAAATGAAAGATCTTTGTCTACAGCTGGGGAAAGTTAGAGACTTAACAGGTTTTAAGCGTGTACAAGGGTGGTGAAGGAGGGAGGAACAAAGAGAACAAAAGAAAGGTATGTGACATGGTTGAAGGCATTAGAGATTGACAAATTGGGTGATGTTGCTTGGTCTGTTTACCTTGTACCATCATTCGTTTTGTCATTGAACCTCTCCTGCCTTCTACACTGTCACAGACCACCCCCCCACCATTTTGGTCTTCCTCCCGATCCCCTTCCTTGCCTTTCCTTGTCTCTGTACTTGCTTAAAACCTGTTAAATCCCTAACATTTTCCAATTCTGATGGAAGTTGAAGCTTGAAACATTACATTTTCTTTTTCTTTCTACCAATGCTGTCTGACCTGCTGATTATTTTCAACATTTTCTGTTTTCATTTTTAATTCTGAGAGTCCACAGCAGTTTGCTTTTGTGTGATAATTTGTAAACTGCAGTATAAAAAAAAAACTCTCGGACAGCTCTTTGAGTTATAGAGTCAAAAGTGCTATACTGTTTTGGCAAAATCATAAAATCAAAATGGACAAAATTAAAAACAGCCCATATGGGTACTATGACTTAACAACTCGCAGATTGGAAATAATTTCCACCAATTAAAATTTAATTTAATCAACCTGCTTGGTCACTTCTACCACCAAGGCAAGTGGAACCCAGATTTTCTGTCCCAGAGGTAGGGACATTGCCACTTTGCCACAAGCCCATTAATTGTTCAGCAAAAGTGCTATATTCCTCATCAGATTTTAACAGCTGTGAATATGGTGGACCTTAAAAGGGCAGCAATCAATTGATACTTTTAATCCCCAAGGTCAGTTTGAACACAGATGTTTGCAAGACAAAAGCAGATTGTTCAGCCATGATGCCTCTTTTTTACAGAAATTCAAAATCAAAACCAATCCCACTGTTCTGTTGCCTTCTCGTTGCATTTTCTGTGCTAAGGTACATAATAGTGGTTGGCTTTTGCAGACTTAAGTTGGAGGGCAGAGAGAAGTCACAAAGGTCCCCTCAGGTTTCTAATGATTAGAATGGAATACAACTAACATTGAGGCCATGCTTACACAAAAGGCTAGCTGTACAAGAGCACCCCCTGCTGGCTTTTGATGGCCTCACAATACATTGATCCTCCTGCTGGGAGCAATGCACTGTAGTATTCTCACCTTTTTTAACTGTAATGTTGGAAAGATATATCACAATGTATACATGTCTTTCTGCTGCCCGTAGATTTCATTCAGGGAATTTATTCGATAACAAGAGCACTATCTGATGTTCTTCTGTGTTACCTTCCACATTAAGCTGATTGCACCTAGCTCTACCTCCACCAACCCTGTTGACCTCTCCACTGCCTCTGATACCTTATGACTTGTTTCAATTGAGCTATGATTTCCTCCAGCTAAATACTAAACTTATTTATTGCATTTTGCCAGTAATTCAATTTTGCTTCCCAACACTGCTACAGGGTGAACAATTTACTTCAAAACCTTGAACTTACTGACTGCATATCATCTCCGCCACAGAGGCTGCCCATTTTCACCTCCATCATGTCATTTTTCCCTCCATTACAATTTTTTCATGAAACTCTAGACCCATCTTCCTTCTCAGGTGGATGTGGAAGATCCCATGGCACTGTTGAATGAAGAGTAGGTGAGTTCTCTGTGCTGTCCTAGTCAACATTTGTCCTTCAGCCAGCATCAAAAAATGTTGTCATTTATCTTGTTAGGGTCATCAGGGCTTGATTCATGAGAATTAGTGGTGCTGCATTTGACTACAGTTCAACAATGACTACACTTCAAAGACAACTGAACTGGGTTTTAGACCATCCTAAAGTATTACTGAAATGGAAGTTCTTTGTAATGTATGATATTCCCTACAGGCACCTCACAGATACCGGGACATCACTCAGCCAATTCGATGGCATCTTGCACCTTCACTGGTTCCTTTCCGGCCAATGAGGTGAATGGAGAGAAGGAAAAAGCTGGGGACCAACCCATCAGGTTGGCACAAGGTCATGCTACAGAGATGCTAAAACTGCTGGGTGGACAATCCTCAGTAGCCCCAACAGTGCCAGTCTCTCATTCCAATCGAACAGGGGAGCCACATATCAGAAGGCATCCTACACCTCTGAAATCTGGTTGTGATGACAGAAAGAGAAACATTACTGCCCCTGAAGGCTGTGAGGTGAGTTGCTGTACTCAACACAAGAGATGAGTGAAGGAGAGGGCAAGTGGAGGGTAAACTGATAGTTTTGTGAATTTAAGCAAAGGAAAACCGCTGTGGATACCAGAAGCCTGAGGAAAAAAGAAACAGAAAATGCTGGAAAACTGTCAGTAGATAAGGCACAACTGTAGACTGAAAAGTTAACTGTTTCTCTCCCTCCACAAATGCTACATCAGTTCCTGCGTGTCTTCTAGCATTTTCTATTTCTGTTTTAAATATTATTTACTAGTAGAATCAAGGTGCTGAAATCATCAGATGCTCCTGATTTAATTTTGTCAAGGTTACTGGCTTAAAACTTTCCAATCACATTTTTGCAGCATTTTGCCTTTTTTATAAAAAGATACAGCTTCCAACACAGTTATCTAAGGGACACCAGTGTTCTTCTACATCAGTGCAGGGAAAAGCTAATTCAGAAAATAGTTGTTATTTTAAAACTTCCAGAGTGAGGCATATCATTCAAGTGCATGCTTGAAAACAGTTATCCACTCTGTTGTTGGCATCCTACCTGTGTCAAAGGGGAAATCCTGCATTTGAACAGACAGAACCGTACATTATCCACGGGTAGGCAGGATGCACTAAATATCATAGCCTGCTACAGTGGCATTGAATGGTGGTGTCCATCCAACACAGTGCAGCCTGATGCAAACCCTGACATGTCCATCTTGCTCAAGTTTGTCCTATGTGAAGACTTTTCCTGAATGAGAGAGAAATACATAATCATAGTAAATCTGTCCTTTGCAGACGATACTGAATGTCTTTTTTCCCACATTATGGGGGTGATAACTGGCAATGGATTGACTTAATGTTTTCAGTAAATGCTTTGAGGATAATTTTCTTCCTTTAACAAAGACACACTATTATTGTCAGCAACGGACACATTATTTTGCCATTTGGTAGCTTGAGCAAATGCTGCAATATGCTTGACAGCAGCTGATGTATTTTGTGGGATTGTGAAAACAGTCAAATCTCAAATTTTCACTTTTTCTATCTGGTGTATGATTTCCATTTTACAGACATTTCAATCCATGTCCACTGACTTACTACCTAATGAGTGTGGTGCAGTTGGTGCAAAAATCTCAAATCCAAACCTCATGGATAATTTTCTAGATCTAGTTGACAGATATTGGAATGGATTTAAGTCTCTTCATTGTAATGAAAATTTTCTGAGTGAGTACTTTGCAGTTTTCTTTCATAAATGTATAGATTTTCAAAGGATGAATGTGTTGTTGTTTAATAATAAGATGCTTGTGAGCCTATTTTCTCCATTTACCTTCAGAGTCAGCTGTAGTTCAGTGAGCAGCACTCCCAACTCTCGGTCAGAGTATTTTGGTCTCCAGTTCCACTCCAGATACTTGGGCATAGCCTGGTGCTTGAGTGCAGTACTTAAGGGAATGCTTTACTTTTGGACGTGCCATCATTTAGGTTAGATATCTGCCCTCGGTAGAACAGAAGAGATCCAATGGTACAATTTTGAAGATCAGGAGAGGCCTCCCTGGTGTTTTGGCCAGTATTTATTCCACAACTCAATCATGATGTTTCAAAGATGCTTCACTATCAATGAAGCACACTGGGATGAGCAGAAGTCATGCAAAACTCTATATAAGTGCAAATCCTACTTATCATAAATTTTTTTTGAAACAGAATCTTAAGGAGTATTGAGTATCGTCCAGGAATGAAACCAATATCTTTCTCATTTTTCGCAATGAGGGTAAATTAAAACTCTCTTCCTTGTTGACATAATGGGTTAAAAAGAATAAACAGAATATCTTATTGGTTTTCAGCTGTTTGGTGAGTTTCTATTTTAGGCTTTGCATTACCGTAGGAAACCCACCCCGTGACATTGATCACAAATTAATTATGAAGTGGCTTTGTCGTCATAGCTTTCACGTCGGTTACAAGATCTGCAATTAAGAAACAGTAGTTTGCACAGTGTTATGCAGTATCAAATTTCTTTGGTTCAGTCACCAGGTTGAGATGAAATGTCAATCTACAAGATTCATTGTGAAGCTGCGTTCTGATGCTCTATCAAGTAGCTTCATCAAAGCATTTGGAACCCCTTCCCCTCCTCTTTTTCTCTACTCTCTTCTCACTTCTTTCATACCTCCCTATGGTCCAGAGCATCTTAGTGTCGTTTAGTATTGCCTTCACAATCTAAATCAACAATCTGACCTACCTCTTCCAATAGAACCCATCTTTTTACAGTAATACTATTTTGAACATAAGTGTTTCTCATTTCCAGGAATCTATTTCACACAGAGGTTTTTAACTGTGCTGTTCGTTAGAAACTGTTATACAGAATAAGCAGCATAAATTATATATTTATTTTATGCTCTCTGCTGTATGGAAAACAGGGTGTTAAAGTAGTATGTTTTGCTATTGACATTAATGATATTGTTTAAATAGAACAAGCAAGAAGAATGATGTGTGACATTCAACAGCAAGTGGCACTCGAAAACCAGCCAAAAGAAACCAAGAAACTTCAGGAGGGAATAAACGATTTAAAAGCGAAGAATGAGACTTTGGAAAACTGCCTTTGTCAGCAGAAACAACAGTATACAGAAGAATTCCAAAAGCTATCTGTGCAACTGTCACAAGCTCAAAGAGACATGGTAGGAACAGGTCATTCATTAATTCAACCAACATCTGTGAAAGACAGATTGTGTAAAGAGGAATTTTTTCAACAGGACCTAGAGCATTGTAATTTTTAGGTATTGAGATTATGTTTCAAGTTTTTAGACCACTCTTCTAATTATTGAATTTTCTTTGGATTGAATTGGTCCACTTTGCAGAACATCATGAGATTAGGCAGAAGCCATGCCCCCTGTTGAGCTTGTTCTTCCATTCAATTAGTACATAGCTGGTTTGTACTTAAATCCATGTGCCTGTCTTGGTTCGGTAGCTGTTCATATCCTTTCCTAACAAAAGTAATTAGTCTCAGTTTTAGCCTAGTTTCAACAGTTTTTTTTTTCAGGAGAATGTTTCACATTTCCACTATTCATTATGTGACGAGATACTTCATTCAGAACCCCTGAACAGCCAAGCTCTGATTTTAAGGGTAAACACCCTTGTTCTGGAATCCTCCACAAGAGGAAATAGTTTATCTCAATCAATTGCATTAATTCCATTAATCATCTTTAGCATGTCAATTAAATGAACTTTTCATTTTCCATGTTCAGGGGAATTTGAACTTAGTAATACCTATCTTCAATGTATTCCCTTTAGCGCCTCGCAAATATAGCCACATTAAAGATATTGATGGGTACTAATAGTTGAACAATTTAGAGTTTGATTCAGAAAAACACAACCTAAAAGAAAATTGCACACGAATATCCAACTGGTGTCAGTATTAACATTTTTATGATACAAACAATTATCTCTGTAGCAGAATTGCCAACAGTCCTAAGATTCATCTCTAGTGAGATTCACCTAGGCCCAAAAAGAGTCCTGAATTAGTGGCTGATAACAGAAGGAAGTTTATTAATGAAGTTAGTATTCCTTGCAAATTGGGAAAATCAAAGCCTTCATCTTTAGCCTTTGCAAAAACTTTGCCTCATCAGTGATTCTGTATCCACCCCAGACCATTGTCTCAGCCTAAAGCAGATTGTTCACAACCTGGTAGCCAATTAATGTTGAACTGAACTTCCAACCCTATATTCTCAGCATCACAAACATTATGCCCAGACCCTATACAAAGGTCTGCAATGTGTTAACAGTTCCAGGCGGGATATCTCAAATTGGTAAGCCCCTGGGTTGGGGAAGATGAACTGGCTCCCCTTCTTTATTCACTCACCTCCTGTTTTTGTTGCAACAATGTTAATTTAAAAACGGATCCCTTCCCTTGTGGAAAACTTTCTGCGAGACCCAAATGAGCTTATATTTTAATAGGAGCCAATTTAACAAGGCTTTTTTGAGTTAACAAAGAGCGTGTTTATTAATAACTAGCAGATAAAGTAAAAGTCACCGTAGTCCCAGAGTACCGTAGGATTGCTCTGTCATTAGAAGGAGGCAGCTGGTAATGGTTTAACATGAGGGTCACCAAACCTCAAGTAAAGATCAACAAGATGAGACCTTCATGCTGGCCTCACCCAGCTCAGGAATTGAACCTACACTGTTGGTGTCACTCTGCATTGCAAACCAGTCGCCAGCTAACTGAGCTAACGAACACTGGCCCACCCCCATTACTAACAGAACACAGACACAGATTAAAACTAAATGTGAGTCCACAAAGATTAAAAAAAATTAAAATATACAGGTCTGACTGTGAATTGTTTGCAAAGAGCAAATTGTTGAACTTTGCTGTAATTAAAGTGGAGGTTGCCAGTAGTGTTGACTTTACTAATTGAACAGTTGGTTCAAAAACCTTAGCTTTTCAAATTTGTGGAGATTCTGTAGTTCTGATTCCTTTCAAATGTGATTGAATTTCAGTATCCAGACTGAGGGAGTTTCGTTATCCTGTTTTCCATTCATCTAGCTGCTAGCTAGCTAAGTTCTAGTGCCCAGAGTTAGAGAGGGTTTTTACCTGCAAAACAGGGGTTCCCAGAGGATAGTTTTTTGACTGTGACCTTTACAGCATTCTAATACTCTAACCCAGGCTGGTGCATATGAAAATGTTCAGCCCATCTAGCACACTTGCACACAGTTGAAACTGTCACCCGACCCAATGTTAAAATGTTAACTCTGATTTCTCTCCACAGATGCTTCCAAACCTGCTGAGCTTTTCCAGCAATTTCTGTTTCTGTTTCTGATTTACAGCACCTGCAGTCCTTTTATTTTTATTTTTAACATCTATTCTTGTGTGCTCTTCAAAAGAGGAAAATGCAAAGTGTCTGCAGTTTGGGACATAATCACAAGGGGTGGCTTGCTATTGAGCAATGAGTCATCAGCCCCTCATTATCTTTGTATTCTCTCAAAATCACAGTCCAGTCTGCTGCACCCCACTGCTGCCACTGCTAGCTGCCTTGAAGGGTTGTTGTTTGAAGTTGCCCTTGAACCTGTAGGTGTGACAGTCTGTGGGTTGCTCTCTCTCTCCAGACAGTCATTTAATTTACATTCATAGCTGTATTTGGCTGTATGTGCCTTTTTTAAAAACAGCTGTTGGAATTACAAATCAAAAATCTCCACAGTAATCCGGGATTCTGACCTGATTCATAAGAGCAAGTTCACCCACTAATATCTTAGACCTCTGCCTGGCCCTATCTTCTGCTGAAATTCTCATCCATTCTTACCTAATTTTCAAATACAACTATTCCATCACTGTCCTGACTGCTCTTCCATGTTCTACCCTTGTTAAATTCGCCCCATCTACCTTCCAGGGTCCCCCACCACACTCCCAGAACAAAATCTGACTTTCTTGGCCATGTTTTCACAGATCAGATGTGAGGGGTCATGAAGTGTCCTGTCCCTGTGCTCCAGGCCTAGAAATGAAAGTCCGAGACCAAGTCCTGGTTTCTTATCACCCTTGAGCCCTATGTGCTGTTCCATCCACACATTTAAAATTCTCATACTTGTGTTTAAAGCCTTCCACAGTCTTAGTCCTCAATAACTTATTAACCTTCTGTAGCCTGACAACCCTCCAGGAGCTCTGTGTTCCTCCAGTTCTAGCCTGTTGTATATCTCCCATTCCATTCATTCCACCATTGGTAATTGTTACTTTCAGCTGACCAGATCATAAGATCTGGAAATCCATCCTCAAACCTATTTTACTCTCCTACCTCCTTTCGTGTAAGATATTGTTAACTCTTAATCAAGTTTTTGAGTCACTCTCCTATTATCTCCTTCCTTGCAAATTCTGTCTGATTATACTCCTAAGTGGTGCTTTATGACAGTTTAGAAAGTTAAAGACATTATATAATTGTACACTAGTGTTGCAGTCCTACCAATAACATCGCTCCACAACGATAGCACTGTTTTCCTAGGAGTAGCTGATGTTATTGTTAAGAGGCTTGAACAAATGCAAGGATGCCTGGGCATGTGTAGAAAAGCATTGGGTGTATTATTGATAAAAGAAGGGTAACAATACCTGGTAACGTTGAGATTTCTCAGTTTTTTTTTAAAACTTATAAGAGTGTAAAGAATATGTATCAAGACAAAAAACAAGAAATTGAATTAAAAACCAAAAGAACTGTGGATGCTGTAAAGCAGGAACAAAAACAGAAATTGCTGGAAAAGCTCAGCTGGTCTGGCAGCATCTGTGAAGAAAAAATCAGAGTTAACGTTTCGGTCTGGTGACCCTTCCGCAGAATTGAATTAACCTCGGTAGAAATATTATTGGACAGAGCCATAGTTTAATATTGGCAAATTTTTGAATTTTTTTGTGATAGACCAAGCAGCCTGATGGTGTCATAAATGATGAATGCTCTGTCTCTTAGACTGCACCATGTGAAACATTATCAGCAGCTTTCTATTGGTGAATATAATTTAATAAGATCTTGGAGAGTTGTTGCATAAGTAAATGTTTTTTGGCTGTTTTACCCTTGTCACAAACTTTTCCATGTGTTCTGATTTACCCTAGCTTTGCTTTAACAGGAAATGCTGAAGGATTGTTTAGGTCAGACTTTGGATGAGAAAAATCATTTGCAGAACCACCTGATAAAACTTGAACAAAAAGCACTTAACACATCCAGTTCCAAAAACCAGCAAGTTGAAGGTGAGTTCGTCTGTAAGAGCCTTTTGTTAACTCAGTAAATTAGTATGCTTTGAATGTGTAGACTTTGTGAAATAATGTGTACTTTGAAAGGGAAAGCTTGTTTTATGATTAAAAACTAACCAGTTTGCAAACTGCACAGTGCCTAAACCTTGACATTGCTGCACCAAAAAGTTAGGAAAAGAATTCAAATGTAACAAATGTATTAACACAGGTTCACAGGGATTAGGTAACCTTTTTCTTCCATCCAGAGAATTCAGGTGACCTCAGGTGGCTTTATTGGAGGTTTTATAACTAGCAGAAGAGTCATTTGCGATCGTTAAATGTTCCTTATCTTTGTGCATCCTGGCTAATCTATGGTCAATTGATCAGACTCTTATTCTTGAATCAGTCAATCTTGAGCTCAAGTCCAGAACTCCCCACAATCCAGTGCTGCACCAACAGAAGTGGCATGTTCCAGATGATGTATTAAACTGTAACGTGTAATTTCTGTTTTTGCATATTTAGAGCTGCAGAACCACAACCAGAAGTTGCAATGTGAGATCGATAATTTGAAGCACAAAGCCCAGTGTTACACCAAAGTCCAGGACCTGGTTGACAAGCTCCAGGAAAGCCACAGGTAACGGCAGTTTGAGCAGGGCATTCATTTGCAATCGCAACCATTTTGAATCCTGTTAATGTACCGAAGGAAAGTGACCTTTTCCAAATCTTTTCCAAAAGTGAGCGTCGGATTGCATCCTTTGTCTTGGGGAAATTTGCATAATATGATGGCTTGCCTTTTGCGACGACATCTCCACACTAACTTTCCCACTCTTCACTATGTCCTTTAACATCAGTGCATCATCCGATTTTCTCTAGGGACCAGTACTCCCCCTCCCCATCATGACATGTGGAAGAAATCCTCTTAATGAGCATCTACCTCAATCCCATTTAGATCCCTCAAGCCTTGGAGGGATTATAAATATTTAATCTACTGCCTTCTTTCCAGGAGCAAAATAAGGTCTAATCCATTATATGGAGACAGGCAAGTGGTGACACAGAGGGATTCCATAGGTCATAGAGCCATACAGGTGTACAATATGGAAACAGGCATTTATCCCATATCCCTCCAAAGTTTTCCTATCCATTTTCCCTTCCAAATGTCTTTTAAATATTGTAATTGTATCTGCATCCTCCATTTCCTCTGGCAGCTCATTCCATTTATGCACCAGCCTCTGTGTGAAGAAGTTGCCCCTTAGGTCCCTTTTAAATCTTTCCACTCTCGCCTTAAACCTGTGTCCTCTTGTTTTGGACTCCCATACTCTGGGGAAAAGACTTTGGCTATTCACCTCATTTGTGACACTCGTGATTTTATAAACCTCCATAAGGTCGCCCCTCAGGCACCTCCTGTTCAGGGAAAAAAGTCCCAGCCTAACGAGCCTCTCCTTATAACTCAAACCTTCCGATCTTGGTTACATCCTTGTAAATCCTTTTTGCACCCTCTCCAGTTTAGTAACATTCTTCCTGTAGCAGGGTGACCAGAATTGTGCACAGTACTCCAAATGTGGCTTTGCCAATGTCTTGTACAGCTGTAACATGACACCCCAACTCCTGTACTTGATGCTCTGACCGATGAAGGCATGTGTGCCAAACGTCGTCTTCACCACCTTCTGCCTGTGATGCCACTTTCCAGGAACCATGTATCTGCATCCCAAAATCTCTCTGTTTGACAACACTCCCTAGCGGCCTACCATAAACTGTGTAAGTCCTGCCCTGGTTTATCTCACCAAAATGCTACATCTTGCATTTATCTGAATTAAACTCCATCTGCCATTCTTCAGCCCACAGGCCCAATTGGTCAAGATAGCATTGTATTCTTAGATAACCTTCTTCACTGTCCATTATACCACCAATTTTGGTGTCATCCACAAACTTACTAATCATGACCCCTATATTCTCAACCAAATCATTTACACAAATGACAAACAACAGTAGACCTAGCACCGATACTTGCGGCACACTGCTGATTACAGGCCTCCAGTCTGAGAAACAACCTTCCACCACCACGTCTCCTACTGTCAAGCCAATTATGTATCCAAGTGGCGATCTCTCCCTGGATCCCATGTGATTTAACCTTACTAAACAGTCTACCATGCGGTACCTTGCTAAAGTCCATGTAGACAGTGTCTACTACACTGCCTTCATTTATCTTCTTTGTCACCTCTTCAAAAAACTCAATCAAATTTGTGAGACATGATTTCCCATGCATCTAGTAATGCTGACTATCCTTAATCAGTCCTTTTTTTTTCCCCAAACGCATGAAGATCCTGTCTCTCGGAATCCCCTCCAACAACTTACCCACCACTGATGTTAGCCTCACCAGTCTGTAATTCCCTGGCTTTTCCTTGCAGCCTTTCTTAAATAATGGCACATCAGCCACCCTCCAGTCTTCCAGCAAATCACCAGTGACTGCTGATGATACAAATATCTGCACTAGGCTCCCCGCAATTTCTCCTCTAGTTTCCGACAATGTCCTGGGACAGACTAGATCAGGCCCAGGGATTTATCTACCTTCATATGTTTTAAGACCCCCTTTTCCATAATGTGGACTTTTTTCAAGATATCGTTATTCACCAAGTTCCCTATCATTCCATGTCTTTCTCCACAGTAAATACTGGTGAGAAGTGTTCATTTAGAGCCTCACCCATCTCCTGTAACTCCACACTCAGATGAACCCGTTGACCTTTAAGGGGCCCTGGTCTCTCCCTAGTTACTCTTTTGCCCTTAATATACTTGCAAAATCTCTTTTGGATTTTGCTTTACCTTGTCTGCCAAAGCTATCTCATATCCCCTTTGAGCCCTCCTGGCTTCCCTCTTAAGTGTACTCCTACACCCCCTATACTCAAGAGATTCAGTTAATCCCAGTTACCTATACTTGACATATGCTTCCTTCTTTTTCTTGACTAGGGCCTCTATATTTCTAGTCATCCAGTGTTCTCTATTCCTGCCAAACTTGCCCTTCACACTAACAGGCACATGCTGGCCCTGAATTCTCATTATCTTGCTTTGGAAAGCCTCCCACTTATGAAATGTCCCTTTATCTGTGAATAGCCTGCCCACAATCAACTTTTGAAAGTTCTTGTCTAATACCATCAAACTGGCCTTGCCCCAGTTAGAACTTTAACTTGTGGACCACACCTATCCTTTTCCATAACTATTTTGAAACTAATAGAGTAATGGTCACTGGTCCGAAAGTGTTGTTCCCACTAACATCTCAGCCACTTGCCCTGCCCTAATTCCCAAGAGGAGGTCGAGTTTTGCCCCTTCTTGACTAGGGCCATCTACATAATGATTGAGAATTTTTTTCTGAACACATCTAACAAATTCTACCCATCCAAGCCTTTGACCTATGGCAGTGCCAGTCTATATTTGTAAAGTTAAAATCCCCTATTATTACAAACCTATTAATCTTACAGCTGTAATCTCCTCCATACTTGCTCCTCAATTTCCCACTGACTATTGAGGGGCCTATAGTACAATTCCATCCAAGTGATCATCCACTTCTTCTTTCTCAGTTCCACCTATATAGCCTCATTGGATGATCCACTAGGAATATCCTCTCTAAGTACTGCCGTGATATTTTCCCTAATCAAAAACACCACTCCCTGTAATAGCCATGACACCCCAGTCCCATGTACCCATCCGTGCCCTGAGTTCACCTGCCTTAGCTGTGAGGCCTCTTGTATTGAAATAAATGCAGCATAATTCATTGGTCTTCCCTCGTTCCCTGCTGTGCTGTTACCTACCTGCCTTGTTTACTTAACTTGCTCTCTTTAGGTTCTGTGCTAGCCTCAACCTTCTATTTTATCTCACAACTGTTTAGGGTCCCAAACCCCCGCCAGACTAACTTAAATCCTCCCAAGTAGCTCTAGCAAATCTTCCCGCCAGGATATTGGGTCCTCCTCCAGTTCAGGTGCAGCTTGTTCCTCTTATACAGGTCACCACTGCCCCAGAAAAGATCTCAATTATCCAAATTATCTGAATCCCTGCCCCCTGCACCAGCCCCTCAGCCATGCATTCATCTGCACTATCCTCCTTTTCCTACTCTCACTAAAACATGGCACTGGGAGTAATCCAGAGATTACTACCCTTGAGGTCCTGCTTTTTAAACTCCTGCCTAACTGTCTACGTACACTCTGCAGGACTCGGCCCTTTTTCCTATCTGTGTCATTGGTACCAATGTGTACAATGACCACTGGCTGCTCATGCTCCCCTTTAAGAATTTGCTGCAACCACTCTGTGACGTCCTAGACCCTGGCACCAGGGAGGCATCACACCTTCCTGGAGACTCTCACAGTGCCACAGAAATACCTGTCTGTGCCCCTGACTGGTGTTCCCGATTATAATTGCTCGCTTGGACTTTGTGATACCTTGCTTTGCAGCAGAAACGGTCATGGTGCCACAGACCTGACTGCTGCTGCTATTTTCCCCTGAGAAGTTATCTCCCTCAACAGTATCTAAAGCAGTATACTTATTTGAGAGGGGGATAGCCACAGGAGACACCTGCACTACCTGCCTGCCTCTCCTGGTGATTATCTACCTGACTGAACCTGTGGTGTGACCACCTTCCTGAAGCTACTATCTACACAATCTATACCTCCTAACCATGTACAATTTCTGCTCCAACTGACTAATGCAGTCTGAGAGGAGCTGCAGCAGGACATATTTCCTGCAGATATAGTTGCCAGGGATGTTCAATTGCTCCCTCATCTCCAACATGTGACAGGGGGAGCATACCACTCCACTGACTTTGCTTTTTTTTAAACTGAATCTTTAAGGGTTAGAAACTTTAAGAGACTTTTTTTTAAAATAAATAAACCAAATAAGTCCCTACCCCTGCTTGAACAAATACTTACAAAGTAATAATTTGGAAATATCCACCAGGACTTGCTCACCAATCAGCTATTCCCATTGGTCCCGCTCACTGTCAGAACTGTTACATCTGGTCTAATCCTGCCCCCACTGGACCTGTGGAAGTAGTAAGGGAAACAGCAATGTCTCCCTCCCCAACTTCTCTCAACTCCCACACTCACCTCAACCACCAGCATTTCACTCTCTGCAGCGAGCACTCCATTGTGTTGTTACCAAATATTTCACCACCTTAAGGTTATCCATTTGTTATTTGTCTTCTCCACCCACACCTCCATCCCATGCCCCCGCCCCAGGAGATATGGCTGTTGTACTCTCTGAGGGATGCACATAAATTGAATGAATGATCATCTCACGAGAGAGAATCTAACCATCGTCCATTGACATTCGGTGGCATCGCCATTGCTAAACACCTTACGATGACATCGTGGAGGCTACCATTGACCAGAAATTGAACTGAACTAGTCACATAAATACCATGGCCAGAAAAGTAGTCAGAGAAGGAAGCCTGCATCAAATAACTCACCATCTTGACTCCCCAAAGCCTGTCCACAATCTATAAGGCAGAAATTAGGACTGAGATCAAATGTCCTTCACTTACCTGGATGAATGCTGATCTAACAGCACTCAAGAAGCTTCACAGCAACCCAGAGTAGGAAGGCCACTTGACCTGCACCATATCCATAAACATTTACTTACTCCAACACCAAT